AAATATAAAATTTCTACACTTAGATTAATATAGGAAAGGGTGCCTAGGTGGCTCAGTCAGTTAAGCGTCCGACTTTGGCTCAGGTCATGACCTCACGGCTTGTGAATTTGGGCCCCGCGTCTGGCTCCTTGCTGACAGCTTGGAGCCTGGACCCTGCTTGGGATTCTGTGTGTCCCTCTCTCTCTGCCCCTCCCCTGCTCGCAATCGCTCTCTCTTTCTCTTTCTCTCTCTCTCTCTCTCTCTCTCCCCCCAAGGTAAATAAACATTTGAAAAAGAGCTAAATATATACATATGAAATAGATCTTGTTCGATCCTCACAATTCTGCAACATAGCTTGGAAGCTGATTTTTTCATCTTACCGGTGTAGAGACTCGAAGCCCGAGACAGAGGGTTGATGGATTTAGTTAAAAAAAAATATAGGACACCCAGTTACATCTGAGTTTCAATAAAGATCAGATACGTTTCTAGTGTAAATACTTCCCAAATATTGCACACCTATACTAAAAAATTCTTTGTTGTTTATACGAAATTCAAAATTAACTGGGCAATTTTTATTTTACCTGGAAACCCTACTGAGAAGTGACTTAACTAAGGTCATAGGCTAAACCTTCATTTTCAGACCAATACCACCATGTGAGATTACTGCGAGATACTTTTGCTTAGTCATTTGTTTACAACGCCTTCCATATTTCTATTTCACCTTCCTTGCCAACTCACTGTAATCTCAATCATGTCCTTCAATTTCTCACATGAAGAGAAAAATGAATTTAGGCAAATTATTCTAACTGATATTCAGTCTCATGAAAATGCCTACTGTTTTGTACTTCCAAAGTACTTTACAGTTTATTACCTCATTGACAACAACCTTCAGGGAATAAAATGAGGAGTTGGTGTTCATATTTTTCAGATTTGATGATAAAGGCTGAGAACATTTAGAAGATCCAATCAGTATCTCACAGCTACTAGGGAGATCTAAGTCTGAGGTACAAGTCTTGTTATATAAAAATCCAATTAAGTAAAAGTAACATATATTCTATTTCCTTTCATAGTAAGATAATGAACAATTTTAGGCTATTTTGACCTTTACTTTAACAGACACTCATCAGGATGAGCCACTCTATATTACCCAGGCCTGATTCAAAATGGTAAGAGCTAAAATCAGAGAAAAAAGGATGGTTTAATAAGAAATTTTTAAAATCGCTTCACTTAGAAATAGTCTTTACACTCAGAAAAAAGCGTTAAATGTGTTGAAAACATGTCAGCATCAACCGAAATATGTTAGGTTGCTTTTAAGTTATAATATTATCTTGGGGCACCTGGGTGGCTCAGTGAGTTAAGCTTTTGAGTCTTGATTTAGGCTCACGTCATGATCTCTTGAGTCCCGTATCAGGCTCTGTTGACAGCCTGGATTGTCTTTCTGTCCCCCCCCCCCCCCCCCCAACTCACACAGGCTTGTGGACGTGCGTACGCACATGCTCTCTCTCTCTCAAAATAAATAAATAAACATTTTTAAAAAATAGTGTCTTAATGTGCTTGATAACACAGACTTGGTTCTATTATACAATTAATATTTAAAAAACGTCATTCAGGCTTTAAAAAAAGCAAAGGAGGAATTCTGCCAGTTGTGACAACACATATGAACGTGGAGGACATTAAACTAAGTGAAATAAGGCAGACACAGAAAAACCAATACTAGATGATACTCCTACATGAGGAATCGAAAAGAGTAAAGCTGTAGAAGGAGAGCAGAATGGTGGTTGCCAGAGGCTGGGGCAAGTGGCAAAGGGGAGGTATTAAAAGTTTCAGTTATTTAAAATGAATAAATCCCAGAGATCTTCTGTACAGCATAACATCTATAGTTAAAAATACTGTGTTATACACTTAAAAATTTGCTAACCCTCTTATCACAAAAACTGTAATAATAAATAAGGGGGGGAACTTCTGGAGATGATGGATAGGTTTATAATATTGATTACGGTGACGGTATCAGAGGTGTATACTTATCTCCAGACTCATCAAGATGTACCCATTGTGTGCGTATGGCTTTTTGTATGCCAACAGATAATAAAAAAGAAAATAAAAAGAACTTAGGAACAGAGTCACAAAAGTTTCAGTTAGGTCAAGTGTATTTCATAGTAGGCAACAAAGCGATTTTAAATAACCTCCTCTAACGGGGCGCCTGGGTAGCTTAGTCGGTTGAGCATCCGGCTTTGGCTCAGGTCATGATCTCATGGTTTGTGAGTTTGGGCCCCACATCGGGCTCTGTGCTGACCCCTCAGAGCCTGGAGCCTGTTTCGGATTCTGTGTCTCCCTTTTTGCTCCTACCCCACTCGTGCTCTCTCTCCCTCTCTCTCTCAAAAATAAACATTAAAAAATTAAAAAAAAAAATAACCTCCTCTAACAGGTAAATGAATTCAATCCATCAGTCACTGAGTGAACCAACTTGTCTGGCAAACTTTGCTTGAAACTAAGTGCTGCAATGGATCTGGGGATTGCTTCCACAACTATTATTATGGGGGAAATCACAAGGATTCAACTAAATATTCAAAAATATTTTCCAAGGTAAAGCAAACAGATGTCAACACATTTAAAAATGTTTGAATAGGGGTAAGAAAAAATTAAAGCTGTTATCCTGGATTACATTTAAAATGAAAGAATGTAGAGGTGCCTAGGTGGCTCAGTGGGTTGAGTGACTGACTTTGCCTCAGGTCGTGATCTCCCAGTCTGAGTTCAAGCCTTGTGTCAGGCTCTGTGCTGACAGCTCAGAACCTGGAGCCTGCTTCAGATTCTGCATCTCCCTTTCTCTCCGCCCCTTGCCCGCTCACACTCTGTCTCTCGCCCTCTCAAAAAATAAATATTTAAAAAAATTTTTTAAACTTGAAAAAAATAATAAAATGAAAGAATGTAGAAGATAATTAGTAGAGTTAAAGGTTAGCCACTACTACAAAAAGAGCCATCTTTGAAAAGTGCTCACAACACAACACATTTTTCCCTCTTCCTCCTCTGGATCCTAGGTTTTCTCTCTCCTTTCTTATGCATTCTCTCCCCCGCCCACCCCTGGCCAGTTCCCTTTCCTATTGGTCTTAGAAACTTTGTCTCTTTTTTCCTTCTCAGCATCATCAATTTTCCTCTGGTACCGGGTTCTTGGTTTTCCATTATTGCGCTCATTTTCTCTCTTTTCCCACCTTTCTCTCTGTTGCTCATATATGGAATTTTGTAATGAGGCAATACATGTTAAAGGCTATACGATAAATGTATTCTTATTTTTATGTATTACTGAATAGGTCATCAGGTGTCTCACTACTGTATTTCAAAATAATACTTAAAATGTTTTGTAAGAACTGTTATAACTTTAAGGTTTATTATACCAGGCTTAGTATGCTTATGAGTAGTGCTGCTTTATTTTTATGATCTTATATACTAAAATTTCCAATCTACTGATGCATGATATTTAATGTATGAGTAATTAACTCAAGAGCATTAGGAAGGGTTGTATTACACTGAACATTTCTGCAACAAGACAATTCTACTATTCTAACAACCTGTGGGGTAATACTACATAGATATTAATATCATTTTATTAACTCATAATTTTCTTCAACTTTGAAAAAAAGAACAAGGACTCTCCTTGTCCATTGGGTTTCTACAAAAGAAGTAACTATCACCGAGCTTACCATCTGCCATTTTCATTCGTGCAGAAGTTCTATGTCTACCACATAATTTGAGCGCTATTCAGTCTGAAGATGCCCACATACTTTTATTCGTTGTTATTGCCACACAACGCTAGAGATTAGCTCATTTCTATTTCACACCATTCTCACTGTGGTAACTTTTATTATGAATAATTCTATTTGTTAAAGATATTTAGAAAACTCAAGTCTCAAGAAGAAGTCCTCTATATACTGCAATTGTTTGAAGCCAAATTATCTAGTATGTATTCCACGAGAGGCCATGACGTTGAGATAGACAATGCATTTTGTGCTTCTCAGCTTGTTCTAAACAGCAAAGTTAAAAATACCAACAGACATTTCATTTAAAGTCTTTTCAATAGGTTCCCAAGATCTATACTAGTCATCAACTTTTCCTTTTTGTTAAAGGTTTATTTCTCCTCACCGGCCTTTATAAGAATAAAGGATATTAAAAAAAGTTTATTCATTTTAATGTGTAAACTATATTGATCTTCATTGAATACATGTCATCACTAAGATACCTTCAAAAGTAATCCAACTTGACACTTCGAGTAGTTCTATTTTCTTTGAAATTTCATTTTCTTTCCTGTCATACTCATTTTAACAAATCCATACTCACTTATTATAGCAAAGCATCAACACTTCTCATATAAAAACACAAACTTGAGGGGTGCCTGGATGGCTCAATGGTTTGAGCGTCCGACTTCAGCTCAGGTCACGATCTCATGGTTTGTGAGTTCGAGCCCCACACTGGGCTTGCTGCTGTCAGCCTGTCAGCACAGAGCCCGCTTTGGATCCTCTGTCTCCCCGTCTCTCTGCCCCTCTCCCTGTTCGTGCTCTCACACCCACACACACTCTCTCTCTCTCTAAAAAACAAATGAAACACTAAACAAAAGAAAACAAAACACAGACTTGAAATCTGGAAAGAAATATTTCATTAGTTTCTAAAAATTCTATTCCATCCTCTCATGTAATTCAACACCCTGCCCATGCTGAGGGATGGACCCGAATCCCAGAATTATTACAGGATTCACGATAACATCTTGTTCCAGGTCCACAGACCCTGCTCACGGTGTCACTGCAGCCTGGCCTGAGGCCGGGTACCAACCGCTCCAGCTCTTCCTAAGGTGTTGTGGTTTAGGGTGGTTTGGGTAGATATAGAGCCATGCAAGGAAGAACACTCTTTCCTTATAAAAGTAGGGTGGTATCTTTTTCTTACAATACTGGAAAAGGTAACAGAGTGTTCTCAAGAAATATTAAGTCTGGTGCTTACAATTTTATTTGATGTCTCCTGAGTCATTGAGCACTTACCTGGATAATATCGGGCCAGGCCCGTGGCACTGCCAAACACCTGCCACAACAACGAAGGATCTTCTTCTCGATTTTTTTTGAAAACTTCATCTAAGGCACTTGTCCAGTTGAGTTCATTTAGCACGATTGTTGCTAAGAGAAACAAAAAGAAAAAGTCGTATCTATAATAATTGAGTCTGTCTTCACTTACTTGCAAAATAATGCTACATATTTTCATCACTTTACCTCTAAAAGTACTCTAATCCAGTGGCTACCAACAAGTTTAGACATGGAATGATTTCCTGCAACAAATTTTTGTATGACGGAGGCCATATTGACAATTGGGGCTTGGTAATTCTTTGTTGGAAGAATTCTGTTGGAGCTATTCTGTGCTTTGCCCGGTGTTTAGCAGCACCTATGACCTCTACCCAGTAGATGCCAGTATCACCCAGCCCACACCCCCAGTGGTGATAAGCAGCAGGCTTCCAGACACTGTCAGAACAGAATACAAACAAAACTGCTCCCTGTTGAGAACCACTGTGATGTATAAAGCAGGCCAGAGCAGCTCTCCTGGAAGAGAAGGGGTGGGAGGCATTCCTCCCCTCGAAGCAGCTCTGAAGAAATCTACACAACACATAAGGGCACAGTTTGATTGCCACCCTCCCCTCAATTCTTGATGAATCTCCATAATAAACGAACATAATTTGATCTGTTACTAAAATTGGAAAGAAAAGATGTTGGTCATTTAGCATAGTTTATTAACTGTATTTATACCATAGCAACAAACGTATAGATTCTGACAAAGAAAAACATTCATTCAGGGACTTGACAACACATCAGTGTTAGAAATAGGGAGTACCCGATGCTTTACTACTACCTTTATGAACAATAGTTCTTTTTTTCTGGTTACTTCAATTAAATATCAGAGGATGTTGCTAATAAGGGCCAGGCCATAGATCTTGATTCTTACTTATAACTACGGACTGATCTTGGATAGGTATTAAAAACATCTGCCATTTGGGGTGCCTGGGTGGCTCAGTCGGTTAAGCATCCGACTTCGGCTCAGGTCATGATCTCATGGTTCATGAGTTCGAGTCCCGCATTGGGCTCTGTGCTGACAGCTCAGAGCCTGGAGCCTGCTTCGGATTCTGTGTCTCACTCTCTCTCTGCTCCTCCCCTGCTCACACGCTATCTCTCTCTCTCTCTGTCAAAAGTAAATAAAGATTAAAAAAAAATTTTTAAAACATATGCCACTCATATAATGAAAGATAATTATAATGTGAGATTTAGCATATAATTTATAATTATGGTCCTCCATGATCATAGTATCTCATGTCTAACATATTAAACATGTAATTAGCTTTGAATATTACGTTCCCTTTACAGAAAAAGATGACACACATCATCTCATATCCCCCTCCCCCTCCTTTATGTGTAAAATATGTACCACGGCCCTAGCAGATCAGGAGATTGCACCACCGTGCACTTGAGAATCTATGGCCAAGCCTAAACAATGGAAATGAGTTTGGGATAAGGACTGGAGATAATGCTTAACTCTTATTCTTCCCTGTGACCACAGCAAATAAAGGAAGCAAATGCAGTCATGGTTAAATCATGCCTGGTATTTTGTAAAGGTAAAAGAAAAAAAAAAAAAAGCTTCTATTTAGAAAGATGCACAGCATCTGTGTTTATATTTTAAAGTTTATCATTTACAAAAAAAAAAAAAAATGAAAACAAGGGTATTGTGAAATTGTTCTGGGACCAGCATCCTAATGCATTTCTCATTATTGAGAACTAACAAGATTTCCATCTTTATGGATGTGATTACTTGCAGAAAGATCAGTTGTGTGTGTGTGAATATTCATGAGCTGGGTCTGATCCATAGTGCATGTGAGATACTGGTGAATTCATATTCAAAAGCATGATCCAATGAACATTAAGTGGCCTGTTATATAAAAATTTATATTCACATAGATAACCTGAACTAATACTCACTATTCATGAATATTTATAGTTATATACAAAACAGCACAGAAAAAGAGGAACATTGTACTTTTCTTTAAACATTCATGAGTTTTACAGTAATATTCTACGGAACAAATAATCATGTTTATTTATGATCCAGATACACTTCATTAATTGCCAATCTATTCTAACTTATCTCTTCAATTTCCTTGACTCTTTAATTCCCATTAAGCAAGTGATATCTAATTATTATTTTTAATAAAGTTTTATTTGTTTTTAAGGCTGCTAATTTTTTTCTTAGTTTTATTTGACAACAACTACTAACTACCAGGCTTTGATATGCTGATTGTGAATTACACTTCTATGTATTTACAGGAAAAGTCAAGCTCTGAAATATTCTTATTACAGTATAGGTCTTAAGATTTGTTTATATACCTGAAAATTCTTTTTCAGGTAAGATATTACTGAGGCAGATTTCTAAATATTTTTCTCAAAACTTGTGCATGTGCAAATAAGCTAAGTACAGCAAAACTCTGTATAATAGGTATTTGAACTGATTTTAAATTTCATTCATATGACAGAAATGGTACTGTATACCTATCACATGTGCAAGGTTTTATACCAGTTAAAGATACAGATGCTTCCATTTGCCCTTGTACATTTATAAAGATTTTTGAGTGCAATCATTATTCTATTACTCATTAACTTTACTTGAACGACCACAGCAAGAAATCAAAATTCAAAGAATCTGTCATGGGATTGAAAACTTAGTGCAACCTCTTTAGATTAAGAGTTTGAGGGGCGCCTGGGTGGCGCAGTCGGTTAAGCGTCCGACTTCAGCCAGGTCACGATCTCGCGGTCCGTGAGTTCGAGCCCCGCGTCGGGCTCTGGGCTGATGGCTCGGAGCCTGGAGCCTGTTTCCGATTCTGTGTCTCCCTCTCTCTCTGCCCCTCCCCCATTCATGCTCTGTCTCTCTCTGTCCCAAAAATAAAAAAAAAAAAAAAAAAAAAAAAAAAAAAAAAAAAAAAAGAGTTTGGCTATAGCTGTCTATCAAAATTCACTTGTTCTTTAATCCAACAGTTCTACTTCAAGGGATTTTTATACTATGGAGAGAGTATGGATCTCTAGTTTTTAATCAGAAAACGTTAGAGAGACACTCGTTCAATTATACTGTTCAAATGCCTCAAAACACCAAAATCACAAAGTAAATCAACTGTTGCACTAGGAATTAATTTTAACTATATTGAACACGTTAAAATGTAAAAAAAAAAAAATATGTAAACCATCAAAGCAAACAAAAAAGTATGAATGCTATTTCAGATCTTTCTTGGTTATCTGGCTATATTTTTCTGATTCACAGTATTACATTTGACCAAGAAACATATCTTATTTTGGTTTCCTAGTTATCTGCTTAAACTTGTAAAATTCAACAGCTTCTCCAGAATTACTAAGGTGTCTAACATCTCTCCATTTCTACACTATTGGCATAATTCAGGATAAACAATACTGAAATAACTGGATACTCTGCAGATGATAGAATGAAACTAATGAGGGATATTGGCCATGCTAAAACAAGTTTATGTCATCTCCTGAATCTTTTATCTTCTCCCTGCTACCTCCATTATAATTACATACACAATTTTTTTTCTTTCTCATTTAAATTTATAAGTAGATGTTATTTAGGAAGATGTTTTTAAATAATTCTTCTGGCTACCACTGGGTAGAAAGCCTAGTGCAATCAACAACTTAAAAGTTATTATTCGATTTTTCATTTCACATTATCAAAATCTAAACCTTCCACGATGAAGAAAAAAATGAGTCCAAATTCTTCAGAATATTATTTTCAGCAAGTAATACTGTTTAATAAGAATATGAAAGTGTACTGTTCATTCTCATAAAGACTCAATACTCAAAAAGTAACTGGTATTCTGACTCACTAAAATTCAACAGACTTTCAGTTTCGGTTTGTGACTATATATTACAAAGATGTTTAAAAGCAATTACTTTTCTGTAGGTCATAATCTTTATTTGAATGTCCAGGGCAAGAAATAAAAATGCAAAGACTTTTATTTTAATTGCAGAAATACAGACATGAATTGGCAGCCAAAAAAAAAAAAAAAAAATATTTCATATAAGAATTTCATAACAAATTAAAAAAAAAAAAAAACAAAACAAAAAAGGGGCGCCTGGGTGGCACAGTCGGTTAAGCGTCCGACTTCAGCCAGGTCACAATCTCGCGGTCCAGGAGTTCCAGCCCCGCGTCAGGCTCTGGGCTGACGGCTCAGAGCCTGGAGCCTGTTTCCGATTCTGTGTCTCCCTCTCTCTCTGCCCCTCCCCCGTTCATGCTCTGTCTCTCTCTGTCCCAAAAATAAATAAACGTTGAAAAAAAATTTAAAAAAAAGAATTTCATAACAAATTATCTTTTTAAAAGAACTCCAAATATTTCTTAGCCAAACATAACTTCATCCTCCTTCCAAGGAACTTAACTAAGTGTCTTATGGCTGCTTGAAGAGTAAAATCAGTCCTCATTCTAAGTCTGCTTTTCAGAAATGAAGATTCTTTTATCTTTTAGAATATTAGATGTTGCAAAAAATAAGTCTTTTATAATGTGCAAGGCTAAGCTGTTAGAAGCAGTGAATGCTGGAAAAGCAAACCTTGACTCAGGGGCCTCTACTCTGAAAGGTAAGACAGAATTTCCCTGCTAATTGAATCAGAACGCGGAGAATACACATCTCTGTTCTTCTTATACTTAGTTTTCAAAACATGGCCTTGGGGTTCAGCAATTCTCTCTTGTAGAATATCCTATTGTTCAATCTGGCTTCTCGGCGGAACAAAGAAAACTCTAATTTCTAACAGCACAAAAGAAGTACCTTACATTTCCTGCTAATTCTTCCAAGATACACGAGGTAAATCTACATCTTATTTATGACATGGATTACAGAGTCATTGACAAGTTCTGAATGCCATTTTCCTCTGCCAATTTCAACCCACAAAGTGTTGCACTATTGCTCCCTTTTCAATTTCAGTACATTTGCTTGATTTACTCAGGGTTCAGGGCCTCACTGTGCTTGGAAAGCACTATGTGACTATTGGAAAACCTTAAGGTTATTTACAATGCCCATAAATGTCAACCACATCTTCCAAATGAAGCAGAGAGAAGCTATCAAATAAAAACACAACAGTTAAGA